AATTTCTGATGCTTGTAACTGCTGTGAGGGGGTAGGAGCAGTTAAGAAACAGCCTTTCTTACTTTTCCCAGAGAAATTATTCACTATGAGTGAAAAGTTAAACTGTAAAAAGTCAACAGGAAGACTTTTTTCAATCATCATAATTTCCATAAGAACAAAATGAAATTACCAACAATATAAGAGTTACCACTTTGTCCACAGGAGGCTCCAAAATCAACACAAATAGAAAGTTCCACATAGGAGCTTTAAATACTCCATCCTGATTGGTCGAAACTCCTTGACAACCTCTTGACAATTTACTCTGTTTTAAATGTTTTGAGTTGGGGTCTAGTCTCACCCCACTGGCATTCTGGTTTCCATGACTACCATGCATTATCCCTTAAATATTAGAATGGAATTATTTTTTTAATTAATGACAAAACACCACTTTATTTTGGATTACTAACAGCAGTAAATACACCAAATGGCATTTTCTCATTATGTTATTTGAAAAGGTTGCCCCCCCCAAAAAAAACTTTAAAGCTCCTATGTGTAATTTTATGTTTGTGTTGATCTTGGCACCTCTGAAGTCAAAACCACATCCTGTATTATTAGCACACTATTATTATAAATGTATCACTCATCAAAAACCACAGCAGCTAAAAATGTAATTCACAGCTCTATACAGATCATCAAACTTGACTGACACCTACCACCCGCCAGCTGTTCTTAGACATTACAAATAACCTCTTCAAATAAGTCTCTTCAGTCATGGTCTCATTTGCTTTTGTAGTCCAACGTCAAATTTAATTTCCCAGAGAAAAAAATTCTGTAAGGAGCTTTAAAATTAGAAGGTCAAAAAACGCATACTATCCCTTTAATGTGTCCATAAATTTTAAATGGAGGGTTTTAGTTATTAATGTTATATTTCTGTATTTATCGTATGATTTTTTGAACTTTTTGCCTTTCTGTGATCAGACAGCTTGAGAGAGAGAGAGAGAAAAAGAGAGAGAGGGAGAGAGAGTGAGAGAGAGAGAGAGAGAGAGAGAGAGAGAGAGAGAGAGAGAGAGAGAGAGAGAGGGAGAGAGAGAGAGAGAGAGAGAGAGAGCATGTCAGGACCGGGAATCAATTCTACACCCAGTGTGATGTGGACAGAAGCCTCTGAACACGGCGCGCCTGCTCTACCATCCAAGCAAAACCATATTTCTAATCCTATATTTCCTAATTTAGATTTTTTACATTATTTAACACTCTTACGGGACTTTTTAATTTCCTGGAAAGTAGAAGCCACTATTTTGAACCCCCGTTTTCCCTCAATTTGTGCATTTTTTTATGCATACAGTTTGTATATGTTCAAAAATCTCAATTAAGAATGTAAAAAGTTAAAAAGTAATCATCCAAGTTACAAAAACATACAATCTGCTTTTAGACAGACATGAAAAACTCTGTTAACCTTTCAAAATAAAAGCATAACTTTTGCCTTCTAATGCAGCATGGTGAAGATGCGCAGCTCCAAACTTTCCACGACGTTTCAGAACATTATGAAAAAGTTAGACTGTACAATTTTTCATATTTACTCCAAAAAGTTAAAATGACTGATCTTGTTTTAAGTTCATCAATTTTCATAAGTGTCCAAATAAAAGCTTGAACTTCTTTAACAGTACATTTGAGTGAAATTTTGCAAGTTGCCTTCACTTTTTAGAATGTAATCCTCATTTCCTGACTGCACACTGACTACAGTGTAATCAAAGCTGTAAATCTAAATAGGATTAATGTGAGTGGTGTTAGAGCTGGGAGCTAAGAGTTGTCTGACTTGGATTATTGACATTTAAAAGGGCTGCTGCTGGTTTTGTTGACTTAAAAAAAGCTAAAATCGGATTCTTTTCATTACTGTTCGTTAAATAATGCCAAACACTTCAGTTCAGAGTAATCACATTTTCTCTGTAGACACAAACAATGGCGCAATAACTACCCGTTAATAGCTTTTTAAAGATTGAATTTAGTTCTGCAAGTTTTGAAAATGTTTCATAACTTTTAACAAAAGCAGAAGCACAAAAGAGCCAAAACCTGTACAAGTAGCTCTTTTTTTTCTCCCTTTTACATAATTAATTATCCAAGTACCTGATTTCAAAGTTCACACCACAAAATCAACTTCTTATTCCCTGTGAGAATAATGAGATACAGTAGAAGCCGACGTGTTCAGTAAAGGTAGACAGGAATTTAGCGGAGAAAACAACAGATTTGCGGGCAGACTAAGTGCTTGAGTGAACAGGTTAACAGTGACGGGGCCCTGAATGGCTGTGACAGCGAGAAAGCAGCGAGAGGCTCCAGCACTGAAGGGGGAAGTGACCCGGAAACGGTGTGTAAGTGCAGCTCGCCGGGCCCTTTAGGAAAAAACTCTGTGCAGGAGCACTGATGCAAGTCCTGCTAAATCCACAGTTGTATTGTTTCTGCTGCACTTTCTGCACACATGCATTGCTCAGACACACTCGGCACAGTCATGTAATGACAAACAGATAGTGGGGAAAACCTCTGGTTGTGTTTGTCTCCTGCAGACGTGCAACAATAAACTCCTCTGACTTTAACACAGAGGAGTTTTAGAGTGAGAACTTTTTGTTTTGTTTTTTTTCCCAGTTCCTAAATCAGGACAGAAGAAACGCTTTAACTCCAGCTTTGTGACGTACACACAATAAGTCACAACATCATGACTTCTCATGAGCTTACTTACTTCTTGAGCTTCTTAGTCAAAGTGCTCAGCTTTACCTTTGTAGAGTTAAACTGTGCATTGTGTGCAATAAGAGCCAAGAGTGCAATTATGCAAGAGATTAGAGGCATATGGATGCTTTCAGTTTTTCAGCTCCCTCAAAGAAACATTCAGCGAAACTCATTACTTTGCTGTTTCAGAAGATCAGAATCGTAACTTATCTGAAATAAAGTTTACACAAAAGAAAACTAGACAAAAACCTTCAATATTTTAGTTTAACACTTTTTTGTCGTGTCAACGTCAGTCAAATACAACTACAAACCCCTTCTCTGAGAAACTTTTGCACTTCTTAATTCAGGGTAATATAATTGTGTTTCTTTTTAATCAGAGGAAACAACTTCAACTAAATTTTTTTTATTATTTGTTGGTTCCCCTACATTTTTAGATTACAGGAAAGTATCAGAATTAATTTTCCAATGTATTTTTCCTATCCCATGATTTCTTTAACGCACCGGAGTTGAGCCGAATTTATGGAAAACAATTACAGAGAAAAGTGATATAAATTTGATCGTTGCATAAATGATTGATTTTAACATAAATTCACACAGAGAGTTGTCTCTAATTAAAACCAACAATAACTTCAAATCAAAACCGTTGAATCTTTATATAATGTTTCAACTCCAACTTTTACGGACTATTTGAAATTTTTTTCCTATTTTTCATGTTTCTCCTGACTTAGTAAAATAAAAAATTAAAAAGTGTCCCATTTTGAACCTCCATATTAATGCTAAAGCGTCAGAGAGCAGGAAATGCCACTTGTTGATAAAATACAAAAAAACATGAACGTCACATTTTTTGTTCGTAGTAGCTACACTAGAATATTTTTGCACTTTTTAAAAACACACTTGTTCTTGCTCAGCTTTTTTTTTTAAGTGAAAGTTTTAGTGCAAAAAAGTGAGAGTGCAGATTCATTTTAGCAACAGTTTCTTTTTTTTCTTTGTAAAGGTCTGCAAACAAACAACACAATAATGGCCCTTCACATAGACATTCATTATGGGCCCCTGCCTGTGCTGATGACCCTTTTCTCCTTAACATGGAGTAGCTTTAAATCATTAATTTAAAAAAAGAGTGTAGTTTTTTCCACAGTTACATGAGTTTGAAGAGGAGTTATTTTTTTCTGAAGAGTTTGGGATCTTTAAACGTTTTCCCTTTGGAGTAAAAACAAAAACAAAACAAAAAAAAAAACAAAACAAAAAAAAAAGTAATTTTTGTCAGACTGAGTTTTTGTAAATAAACAAAAACACACAAGCTGTGTGTGTATGAAGCCAGCATGCAAAAGTCTGTAAAAAAACATCAACAGAGATATTATTTACTGCTGCACTAAGTCTCTAGACACAAACTGTTTGTAAAAAGATTTAAGAAGATTTCACAATATTTTTGTTATAAATCCAGCATGGCTTTTTTTTTTAACCTTAAACTTCTACAAAGTTACTGCACACAATGAAGTCTAAGAAACTTTGTCAGAGCAGAGTAAAAATATTTACTTTCAGCCATTGTTGTAACCTCTGTTATAAGAGCTTCCTTATGTTTTTTAGTGTGTCAACAAAAAATTTTAAGCTTTTTTTTTTGCGAATAAACTTTAGCAGTTTAACACTGTAAAAAATAGCGCAAGTTAAAAAAATTGCTTATTTTCATTTCTAGTAAAAAATTCATCCTGAGCCAAAACACTTAGATTAAAATCCAAATATTACATATTTTATTGCAAAAATCGTCATAGTTATAATATACGAACTGTATTCACAGTTTGACAGTCTGTTAAAGAAAAGGTCGAGTGGAAACAACCGATAAACTTGTTTCATTAATAACCAAAAAACGAGAGTAACGACAAATATATACTGGAAATAAGGCCATATAAATACACATGAATTATTGCTTGAAAGAAACTCGTGTATAAGTTGAAAAAAAAGTGAGAAAAGGGAGGATGCTGCAGCTCCGAGTTTCATCATGACCGTACATTCATTTAGATGACTTCAAAATAAAACTGCTCAGAAAGACTTGTATGCATGCAAATTTGCCTGACTGTAACCTTTTTGTTATTGTTGTTAATGATAATAATAATAATAATCATAATAATAATAATATCCGGATAATAATAATTATTATAAATTTCAGAGGGACAAAAAGTGGCACATGCATGTCGTTGATATGTTGACATCAAAGTTGGGAGATATTTTATGAAATCCAAAAAAAAAAAAAAAAATAAGAACAAAAATCAAAAATAAAGTGAAAGTCCTAACTAAATATGTCCACACTGTGTCCTCACTGTGTTCCCAGACAGAGCAAACCGTCAGTCTGCGTCAAACAGGCCGAAGTATTTGCCAGTGTTGGAGAAGTAGATGTACGGTGCGCTGTTGGCAGCCGGGTACATCACGGGGAAAGGCATGGGTAACAAACATCCGCCCAGCACGCCGCCGCCGCCGCTGCTGTCTTTGTAAAAAGTCGGTAATTGCACGTTTTTCGCCGCCTCCGACAGCTGTTCCGCAGCCAGCGGGGCCTCCATGTCCGTGGACAGCTGCCTCTTCAGCTTGTTCCTGCGGTTCTGGAACCAGATCTTCACCTGGGTCTCGGTGAGCTGCAGGGAGCTCGCCAGGCACGCTCTCTCCGAGCTGCTCAGGTAGCGCTTCATGTCGAAGGTGGCCTCCAGCTGGAAGATCTGCCGCTTGGAGAAGATGGTGCGCGTTTTCTTCTTCACCATGGCTTTAGTGTCCGGGCTGGCCTGCTGCTGCTGCTGCTCCTGCTGCTCCTGCTCGGATGCGTCCTCCGCGCTGTGAGCTCTCTGCGTCCCGGGACTGACGCCATCGGACAGCGGTGGAGTTTTCCCCCCGTGTCTGGGTTTCTTTTGCGCTGCGAATGAAGCGAGAAAGCTTGTCTTCATGCAGAAACTGTAAACTTTTAGACTATACTGCTTGCACAGCATGCACAGAAACTCCACTAAAAACAGATAAATCACTAAAACTCGTGCGCGATTTCCCCAGCGTGCAGCTTTTACGCATCCCTCCACCTCTTCTTTTCCCACTTAATAGTTTTTGTTGCGACAATTTTGCACCTCTTATTTGACTTTGTGAATTCCGAGTTACCTGCTTCTTCTGAACCGCTGTCCTGCCTCCTCCGGACGTCCCACGCCTCCTCACCCCGTGCTTGAAACTCACTCTTACATCCCCCGTCCCTGCGCTCCGAGCCTCCGCCGCCTCCTCCTCCTCCTCCGTCCCGCTGCTTCAGGTTGAGGATATTATCGATAGTGAAAGTCAAAGAAGCGCTCCGACTCGGGGCGTCCTCTTTGCTCATGTTCCCCGGCATTTCATCCGCTCCTCCGTTAATCCCGAGACGGCGTCGAGTCCGGACGCTCCGAGCACCATCGCTCCCTGGCTGCGACTAGCGCGCGGAGAGAGGAGCACGCGCGACGTTCCCCGGCGACCCGGAAGAGTGTGGTTTTCGTGGCTTTTGATTGGCGGGGTGGAGAGGGGACGACGAGGGCGGGATGCACGGCTCCGTCTGGCAGCCATATTGTTGCTTTAAACACCTTTCTGTCATCCAAATTCAGGCATGCTAGCTTGATGCGCGATAAAACTTTCTCTCACTTTGAAGCTCGCTCAGCTTTTACTTTATGAGCTCTTGGTCGGTATTACACGAGGCCACGTGATGTCAAAACTGTAAAACACTTTATTTCCTCAATAAAGTAACACTTATTCCCGGGGTTATAGGAATTACTGTACCTAAAAATGCTTCGGGGCTAACATTTCAGTAATTCCTCAACCACACAAGTGTGTAAATTAGTCGTTAGCTGCGATTTTTAGTGATTTTAAAGCTTTAAATGAAAATTTAAATCTTAAAAACTTAGCCGACACATGCTAAGTTTGAAATATTTTCAAATAAGCAGCATTACCACTGCTAACAAGTATTAAGCAGCCCAACAAACAAACAAACAAGTAAAAAAGACATGGCAGAATATGTGCATAAATTTTATTCATGTGAACATATCAGTGTACAAAAGTCTGTATTAAAATTCTCTTAAATAAAAAAGTGTCAACATAATGCTAACAAGTATCCATGCTCACAGCTAGCATAAGATCAAAAACTCACAAGCACCGAAAATCTTCAAAAATTTGATCAAGTGTTCCTACTCCATAGACAAGTCTGAATAAACAGTGCATTGTCCTGTGTGTACGGGGTCAAATAAGGGTCAAAAACATGTGCGCAATGACCAGAAAGAATTTCCCAACATGTAGTTAGTTAGCTAATGACACGACTGTGTTCAGAAATTCAAGTTTGGATTTCTAAACAAAATATTAAAAGTGTAGAAAAGGAAAAATTTACAAATTTGACGTTAATTTGAATTTATTTGTTTACAGTGAAGGAAAGACAATTCTGAATTCCAACGTCTTGCTTTGATTTTTGCTAATAAAGTCTTGAATTTTTGGAAATACTCTTTCAAATTAAGGCCACAGGCTAAACTGACAAGCTTAAATACCTGCATCGGACCCCATTCATACAAACTCTGTGTAAACATTACAAAATAGACTTATATCTGCAACATGTGTGAACCAGAGAGAAACATCCTGAAATTTACATATGTGAGTAAGAGTGTTGGCAGCTGAAATAGAGAAAAACATGTTCATATAAAAATCAACCAAGTAGAAAAAAAAAATCATTGTTTATGAGTAAAATGATCGTATTTATGGGACTTTAATCAGCCACTCAAGGATTATTACGGCCCACGAGATGACTGATCCACTGTAATCTAAATCTGAGTGAAAAGTACCAAACACACAATGAATTGACTTTATTGTTTCCTAACTTCACACGATCTGACACTGAGCTACATGATCACTTTTGCAGCATTGTCGATTGATTGATTGGTGTAAAAAGAGTCTCAAGTGCGCCCAGTCTCTTTAAAGTCCCACCAGTCCGCTCATCTGTGGCGTTATGAACGATACGGGATGTGTGAAGGGGGAAGTCAATGGATAGCTGATAGAGCTAGAAAAGCCGACCATGGGCGGCGTCACAGGGGAGGCGATGTTCTCGCGATACAACACGGGAACTCTGACCACCCTCTGAGAGGCGTAGGGAATGGTCGCCGGCGGTGATGGCGCTGCTGGCCTCCATGTCCGCCGCGATCTGCCGCTTCCACTTGTTCCTGCGGTTCTGGAACCAGATCTTCACCTGTGTCTCTGTGAGCTGCAGAGTGGCCGCCAGCCCGGCTCGCTCGGAGCTGCTCAGGTAGCGCTTCAGGTCGAAGGTGGACTCCAGCTGGAAGACCTGACTCCGGCTGAAGACGGTACGGGTCTTCTTCTTTCGGGCCACTTTGATGTCGCCTGGGGGGAGGAAATAGCACAGGTTTAGAAATGAAATTACTCTGAATGTGGCCTGTGTTCTTACTCCAACACAAATGCCAAAATAGTTTGTTGACAAAATATTTAGAAAAAAAATACAATTTTTTTACAAACCAAATATGTTTTAAAAGTATGAAGAGGTGCCTCTCCAAACATTCTGCCCAGACCCTGAAACTCGTAATTCCACCCCTGCATAAAAGTATAAAACTAACTCTGACCTCTGGGGCTGAACTTGCCAGAAAATATGAGCCTGTCTTAAAAATTAAACCAGATAAAGCCTAACAGATCTTGAAAAAAATAAAAAACACATTGCTATTTATATCAGCGGGAGAGCGCATGCGTGTTGACGCAGGCCGCAGCGCGCAGTGGACTATATATATGTGTTTTAAAAGGTTAGGATGAAGCATGTCAGCCTCACCTGTATCACAGCTGTCCTCTCTCGAGAAACAGGAGGAGCGCGCGTCCTCCTCCTCCCTGTCATCCGTCAGACTCTCATCCCCCTTCTCCTCCTCGTGCTCCTCGTGCTCCTCCGCACGCCCTGCTGGAGGAGGGGAGTCCCGGTCGCTCGTGTGCACGGGGTTTGAGTGCTCATCCCGTGGACCTGCGAGTAATAAAATATTTACACACACACTAACCAGGCTTTGTGTGGAAAAAATACAGCAACAGCACTTGGGAGTGAGGGTTTTTTTTGCACCAAAATGTGCGCTTTTTCACGCCTTTTGCGCTTTCCAAGATCATAAATAACCTTCATGTGCGCTGAGAGTGTATTTGGAGCGTCAGAGTGAGATTGTTGTGCGGATGCCAAACACTGTTGGCTGGAAGAGGGCTGATAATTGGGGAGTTTGGGTGGTTACGCGCGGAGGTAGGGACGGTAAAACAGCCTGTGTGACGCGTCCTCTTTAGAAATCTCGTGAATAAACTGATTCAGAGTTTTGTGTGAGAAATAACGCCGTACGCTTCTCCTTCCTGAACCGAGTCCGGATGGCTATTTTAAGCTTTTACGCACGGATGATTCACATAGTATTCGACTGTATGGATGTTACATTTTGACCTGAAATGCGCAGTTTAATCAAGATTCAAGCAAGTGAAACGGTTAAACGCAAATTTACAGATGATACGAGTGAACTTATTTGCTCCTAAGATGCCATTTGTGATTCCTGCGCTCTATGTGAACAAACAAAGACGGAGAACATTTGTAGCCAGCTGCACTCACTTCTTGAATTCAGGGATGCCCCATTCCAGATTAGCACTTCTCTGTCCTCCACTCGGTCATTCCCCAGTCCTGGATACCTCACCGGGCTGTGTGACCCTCTGAGTCTCGGGGTCTCCACCCGCTCCTCCGCTGCAGCCTCTCTGAACGCAGTCCCCAGCAGATTCTCGATATAGAAAGACGAACCCCTCGACGGAGGACCAACCCTCGATCTCGAGGTTTTATCATCAAGCATGTTTACCTTTTTTTTCCCCCCACTCTGCCTTTAGTCCCAGATTCCTTCAGATTATATCAGGTTATTCCCGAGAATGATCCTCGTTCCCAGCCTGGAGAGCCTGCCGCTCTGCGTCAACCATCCCAACGCGATCCATGAGAGCTGAAGAGAGCTCGAGCCTCAACTGCGCGAGATCCAGACAGAAACGCTCGTCTTGAAGGGAGTAACTCCAGAAAAAAAAGAGGGAGAGAGAGAAAAAAAAAAACACAAGAGACAGGCTCGTTATCCAGAGTCTCTCTCGCAGGCTGTGTGATAGTGTGCCTGGAGGGAGCAGAGACGCTGTATTTAGGTCAAGCAGGGAGCAGAGCGGAGCGGAGACATGGAGCTGTCCTCAGGCTGGAGATGGACGAGCTTCATGCAGAATGGCACAGTACCGCCTATTGGTTACATTTGTCCATGCACGCTCAGGATTAACCATGCACAGCGTGAACCTGAGGTTACCTACATGTAAATACTCCAAAAACTAGTCCAGTTCTATCTCCCAAACCATTATAGTACTTATCTATTAAATATGAATATAATCAGTTATCATTACTATGAATGCATGTTTGGTTACTAAACCGCTTTCTCCTGTAATTTGACATTTAAACATAGAAAACGACGTGTTTATCGGACATGATAATGAACAACAAAAACAAGGGGATAACATTACAAACACAGTTCTTCTAACAATAACAAGAAAATGGGACTTTTAAAAGAAAATTGACGTTCGGGATCTGAATATAGAATAATGTACAGTTGTCTCGCACATGAACGTAAAGGTAAAATCTCCAAATATTAATTTCCGAACATCACAGACTAACAGCAGTAGTTTGAGACTTACTGTAAAATCTCACTTTTGATCATTTGGATTAAATTAACGTCCTCTTTAGTTTTAGAAATCGTAATTAAACGACATAAACAGCCTAATTTTACTCCAATCGTCTAAGACGCATAACCATCAACGATAAATTCTTTAGGGGAGACCGGGATTGGATGTCACACTTGTGTATCTGGTGTGAATTAGTCATGATCAGGACCTTTTACAAAAGCTCAATGACTTTTGTTTTAATGAGTATTTTATACTTTTGAATTTATTCAACATTAAGTTAATAACCATCAAAAACACCCTTACTCACTGTAGCAGTGTAGGAGTGAGTTGGAATTGTACTTATTAATAAGGGTTTATTAAAAAAAAGTTTTCAAACTCTTTTTTGTTTTTTAAGATAGACACACAAAATTAGTTTTAAAATCAGTAAGAGCTTTATGGTGCTCACCATTGCGCTTTGCATTAATTAATGTGTTTGTCTGAATTATCCTCTTTAATCAAAGAAAATGAAAGTATCTAGATTACAAAATTAAAGATTTTTCATTAAACTTCATTTTGTGAGAGTGTGTGTGTGAGTCAAAGAGATTTAAAGTGTGTGTGTGTGTGTGTAAGTGTGTGTTTTCAAAAATATTTGAGACCATTTGGCCTGTAACACAAGTGTCTGTAATGCTGACTGTCTTTTCTTTCCCCACAATTTGACGAAAATACAAACCAAAAAAAATATTATAAATCATCCTGAGTTACAAAAACAGCCCCCACAAAGTGTCAAACCTTTTCCTATGAGTAGCCCAACTTTAACAAGTGTGTTACGACCATCCTCATTTAACCTCCTGAGGACGATTTTATGCTAGCTACCACATGCTCCTAGCTGGCTAGCTAGCTCAAACTAGACTCTAACCAAAGCTATTAATCTCCTTGTTTTGAGATTTTTTATAATAAAAAATTGAACCGTCATCTTGAAAGTTAATACAAAAACATAAACTGCACAAAAAAAATATTTTGACTAATGAAAAATGTCAAATACATCCCATCAGGCTAAATGTTTGATATGAATACGATGACAGAGCAGGAGTCAACACACAGTGATAACCAACCCCAGGCTCCCCTATCTGAATAAGAGCTGCAATGGTAGAAGTTGATTTTTATTTGTATTTTTAATTTCACATTTGTATCATTTTAAAACTTGTGTGTTATCTGATGTCTTTTCATTCCACTTGTTTTTAAAATTGTTTTTTGTCAAAATCACATGGGGACAAAAAACTTTGATTTCACGAAATATATTTTAAAAATAGCTGCTTTATCACAATAGAAGTTAAAGAAATGTTTATATCTTTAAATATTTGTACACAAACTTTATCTTCTTTTCACTTATGAAAAATCCAGATGTTATTAACTCCAGGATGAAAGATAACTTCTACATCTCCAAAACCTCTGGCTTTATTTAGCAGATAAATATGATTTTAATGTGTGTTTTTAATCTTTATTTAATATCATGCTGTATTGATTAATGTGACACTGAAGAACATTTCTGTTCTTTGCCTACAATTGTTAGTGTTTTATTACAAGTAACACCGTACACATTTTTAAGCTAAATTTGACTCCCACAAAAAACACACACAAAAAAAAAATCATAATTTGACAAAACTGAGGAGCCTCCTTGTTGTTTGCAAACACACGTTTCCACATTGACTACAACACCTCCAGCAGTCTCATCCCCCATAGCATCATCTTCCCTCTGTTTTATGAAACATGATCTCTCTCTCTCTCACTGCAGCAGGACTCCAAACCCTGTCTCACTTTCACACCACTTAAGCTGCTGAGACGGAGGCATTTCAGCGTGGTTAAGAAATCTTCCTAAAGCCTGATATGAACACTCAAGTGTAGCTTAGCCATGAAGAACAAATGTAATTTTTTTTTTCTCAGAAAAGAGCCTTTGCAGCCCTAAATGGCCGTAGATGGTCTGCTGTAGCTTAGCCTGAGTTAATTAACGCTGAAGGTGGAAAATATTTAGTCAGCTCTGAAGCTGTGAACAGTGGAGTTAAACAGCACTGCGTTTGGACTTGTAATAGGATTGAAACACTATGAACAGCTTACTTTCATGTGTAAGCAGCCTTGAACAAATGCTCAGAACATTCCAGGTTTTCAGGCTACATATTGATCAACCTCACTCAAGCCAACTCTTTTTTTTCTGCGTCTTTTCACAAAAATAACATAATGCTGTCAGAAATGTAAGTTAAAGACTCCTAAAAAAGGAAATCGAGGGGCTGTAATCCGCACAGCTGACCGGCCGTCAGTTAAGAAAGGCAGAGAACAACAAGCGTTTGTTTGCTCAAGAGAATTGCTCACAATTGTTCCCATTGTGCCACTAAATTGACTTTGTTAAAGCCTCTTTGGAAGTAATAGCCTATCAACCTAATACTCTGTGGTTAAAGGCTAACACTCACACAGACATTTGTACATGAATTCACAAATTACAAGAGGATTTGAAATAAACGCTATGTTGTGCAGAAGTAAATGAACTTACTACTTTGCATTTATGCTGCAATGTACTGTAACAATACGGTGCAAACTTTATGATTTGATTAGAGAAGTTGAGGATATAAAACCACATTGGTGGAGCTACTTTAATCCTAATCTGATGTTTGTGTTCACAGTTTTTCCTAATAGAAAAATCAGGCACAACATTAAAACCAGCAGTATGATAGCTTAACCAAGTGAATACATGAACTCCCTTTGATGGAAACTTACTTTCACAATAAAAACACACATTTTCCAAACAACTGGCAAAACATATACACTGATTTCATAACTTCCTAGTTAAATACCTCGTAATATTTAAACATTTCTTAATTAAACTCTCATTGCAGATAGCTGTTCATGGATAAATTTGGTCCTGTTCAAGGTTTCTGCTTTTTTTCACGTCTTTTCTCATTAAATAAATTACAGCGTTCATGACAGTTGTCTCTAATTGTTGAGGCTAAGAACTTATTTCTAAATGTAAGATTTTTACAGCAAAATGGATAAAACCACTTAATTATGAGAGAATGAATCCAGTCCTGCTTGAGGTTTCTGCCTGTCATTTTTCTCGCCTGATAAAGCAGGATTGTGTTTTTAAGTTTGTCAACATTCAAATTAAAACAAATGTTTATGACACTTCCTTCCTCAAATTTCAGATGATAACTACTTAGTATTCTAAATTCTTATGGTAAATTGGATGGCATTCAGACACAATCCTGGTCCTGTTCGTGGTCTCCGCCTGCTAATTACTGTTTTTAGATTACTTTTTCAAAAGCTTGTCATTTAAGATTCATGGCAGAACTTAAATGTGATTTAAAGGAGAGATTATCATCTGTTCTTGGCCAATACCAGGATTGACTCTGGTCTTGTTCCAGATTTCTGCCAGTCAAAAATACTTTTTCTCATGTCTTTCTTTTTCAACATTAATTGCTAGCTGTCTCCAAATGTAACAGTTAAGAACCCCTAAATATCCTACATCTTCACAATGAATTAGATACAATCACCTAGTTGTAACAGACACCTGTTTTAGAATGAGTCTGGTCTTTCTCAAGGTTTCTGCCTGTCAAAAAAGGAGAGTTTTTCTTCAACTCTAATCTCTTTTATAATTACTTGTGAAGTTTGTGGCAGTTGTCTCCACATCTCATGGTTTCTCACTGAAATGGCAGAGCAGACGGCTGCTTAGGAATGAGTCTGGTACTGCTTGTGGTTTTTGCCTGGTGGTGAGGTTTTTTTTTCCCTTCTTTTTGCACACAGTGATCAATAATTTTGGATCTAGTCTAGACCTGACCTGTTTTAAATGGCAGATATTTTTAGAATTGGTAATAATTAAAATAAACGCTGCTTTGAAGATAGATTTACAACCACAAAAGTGATATTAGAGTCTTATTTGGGAGTGCCGAAAACTCAATATCAGCTAATGTACTTCATTGAGACTGTTTCTGTGGAGTAACCTAACTACCCCCTAACCGTCATCATATCCTGTTTCAAATGTTGCTGCACTCTGATTGGTGCATTGAAAAGCTCAACGTCACATTCCTCACAGAAAGCCCCGCCCCATCCAGAGAGAAAAGCATGGAGCAAAGAAAAGAAAGACAGATATCTCTTGAATAAAATGACCAAAGCGGTTCTTACTTGAGCGTGTAACTAAATGCACATGAAGGAAAAACCCGCACAGGAAGAAGCTGATGGAAGCTGATGGAGCACATGAGTTTTAAGGTCTTTTGAAAAGCACCACACAGACTTTATATTGTACATATTCGGCCATCTTTGCCTGGAGAAAGTTGAGACAGTA